ACGACTCTCCATTGCCTGTTGACGGACAGGTCCTCAGAATATTTTACTATTCAAACATGCAGGCATCGCCACAATGTTTTTCTTAGCTCTTCTAAGAGCCGAGCTCCCGATTCGTGAGTAAATCGGCACTTAAATTTTTATTGCTGCCGGCAGTAAGTGATTTCCAGAGGTCTGTTTACTTTAAAATACGGCGAGATCTGATCCCTTGACCTACCACTAGTGATGCGACTCGAATCCATTCTTACCACTCGAGTAATTTAGCAAATTTTCTCGATTACCGCTCGAGTGGTGCAGTCACGCGGCCACTCAGTTCATTCGAATGACTTTCGCAAGCAAGTTGACGATTAACTTATCAAAAGTTTAGACTTTATTAAACAGATGTTAAATTACACAACAATATTATAAATTAAAAGTTTACTTTTAAAACCCTTAATTTAATATTATTACAATACATTTGTATACACTATTTCTATTTTATTTACGTTTCCAAACAGCAAAAACTGTCTTTGCTTGTCACAGACATAGTACAATACACCAAAGGGTAATAAAAGAAATCAACACACTGTTCAACTAATTATGTGAATGTTACAATCTGCCAGGAAACTCGGAAACCTACAACCAGCGAGCACTGGCGAGTTGACTGGAACTCGATTAAAAACGAAGTGAATCGAGTTCAGATGAACTTGAGTTGATATTTTTTTCACTTTATTACGGGTTTTGTTTGATATCACGCGGGTCACTAGAGTAAAATTGTATTTGTAATAGTACCTACTTTTGAAGGTACCAGCTAACGTTGTCTTTAACCCTAAACTCAGAAACGCCATAAAGAGCGATCATTATTTAATTTGACCTTAGGATTCAAGAGAATGGAACCCATAATAAATTGTAGTCTTCAAACGGACTTGCGGACAAATTATATAGTACGGACATTGATTTATATAGATTTTGACACAGAAGTAAAGTAATTCAAAGTATTTTTATTTATTACTGTAAAAATAATCTAAACAAAGAAATACCTTACGATTGTGTAATTATGGAGCAAAGTTTTTTTAATAATTATGAGCAAGTAAATCTCAATCTTAAGTCCTGTAATTCAAAAAAATTACAATTCATGAAATTTGAAGGAACAAGACTGAGTCATCTTTGTGTGTACGACCCTCATATAAATCGTACAGTAGCATTATTTTGTCATTGTGATAAGCTTAGGTCATTGTTAATTAGTATAAAGTGGCCATTCGTCTTTATCAGTTAAATCGTGACATTGAAATTGATCTCGCTAAACAACCGTATGACCGTTATCAGATAATTACACGAGACGAAACATAACATTTATTTGTCCACTTAACCGGGTTTACGTAGCTTAACAAATAACCTAACAAAATTCTAAATATATAGCACGATATTACAAGTACTGGCTGACTCAACTAATCATCGTACAATCAATCATACGCGGTCTGGTTTTAGCAACGTACAGGGCCTGATTTACTCATAGGATAATTAGGCTGGAGCCTAGGTCGCGAGGTCCAAGGGGGCGTTGAGCTTGCCTTTGCAACCACCACTTATTTACAGAATAAAACATTTAATTGGTAGGTATAATAAATACTAGGGTATGTGCCGCAATCATATTACTTGTTAGTTTTCATTTTTGGTATTAGACAAATCAATGAATAGATTGTAAAAATAAGGACTTCAATTATTTGATGCTTTTGCTTTTGACTGACTGAAATTTGATGACAAAAGGAACACACTGCCAACCCTCCCGCGGTGAGAGCTCAATCCAGTTTACACAGATCTTGTCGCGCAAAGCACTCCTCTTTCTGGAAGTCTACAAGTCGAGTGGGCTTGATTCTAACTCATCTTTTCCAATATTCTTACTCCCCAGGTGTTGTCCCGAACTCATGGAAGACAGCTTTAGTGCATCTAATCCCTAAAAAAGGTGACCGATCAGACCCATTCAACTACAGGCCTATCGCCATCACCTCTTTGTTCTCCAAAAGAATGATTAGTAACCGACTAATACTTTCCGTCGGCATCAAAGTCGCTCACTTGGTGACATTATAATTTAAACAACTCATAGATGGACGAAGAACAGAGTCCTTGAGGGTAGAGGAGCTTTGGCCGCTACTTTGGACTTAGCGAAGGCCTTCGATCAGGTTTGGCACAAAGCATTTCTTTCGAAGCTTCCTTCCTATGGGCTTTCCAAAAAATTGTGCAATTGGATCACCAGTTTTCTTGCAGATCGAAGCGTCAAAGTCGAAGTAGACGACGCTCGGAATATATGCTAGCATACATGGGAACATGGCTGAGTGCTAACCAATAACATTTGTTGTTATGCGAGTAACAGCACTGGCGATGTTTTTTACACCAGCCGTACCAATATATCTCGGAAACACGTCGTCAAATACTGAAATAAACTTGTGTATATAATGTTAGGGAATTTATGTTTTTTATATACGGGAATGAGTTGATCGCCACCAAGCTATTTCTAATGCATGTTGATTGATTGCGTAACGTATATGATAGTAAGCTGTTATTTTTTGTTAAATAAGTCCTGGTTGGGTTCTTGCTGGTTCTTCCCAGGACAGAGGTTTTTTTCTGTACCAGTGGTAATTGAACAAAAAAGTAACTTTTAATAAGAATTATTTATAATCTACGTTGAATAAAAAAAAATATGTTTCAATAATAATCTTAGTTGTACGAATTTAGTCCGGTCAAAGGATTTTCATCGGAAATAAGTTAATCCCGACAAAAATATAAATGTAAAAAAGGAGCCAAGCTCAGTACAAACGACTTCCTGGGTTGTCGGCTTCGAAGACCTGAACGGGTGCCAAGCTCTATAGCACTCATAGGTTCTATAGGAATATACAAAGTTTTTAAAATCCACCATGGAATAGTACTTTATAGAATAAATGGCAATGCCAAAACACTGTTTCCGTTAGAAAATTATTTTCCTTTAAATTTAAACATAGCCTATTCGACATTGACTTAATGTGTATGACGTACCTCATTATTGACCTAAATCGCATGATTCCTCACGACATTTTTCTTAGCCTACAGCATATTACTTTAACCAGCAATCAAATAGTTAATAATTTAGTAACTCTGCTGTCGTCTGTTTGCTATGGATATCAAAGTATCACCTCTAAAAATTCCCTAAAACTACTCTATGATGGACTACAAAAGCAAAGCTTAAGCATTATTGCATTTGTTTACCTAAATTGGTTATGGAAAATCGTGGATGCTTAATTATTATTAAACGTGTTAAATAAGGATATATATGTCAACCAATATTGTGCTGCAACAAGACTGTCCTGTATCGATCGTTTACTTTCGAGAAAGAGGAAAAGAATAGCGCCAATACCACAACAACGCAAACAACAACATAATTCGATCCCTTTGATCGAAAACCCACTACTTGTACCACGTTATGAGACGTAAATGTCAACAATGCACGTCTCAGAATTGAATATCGTATAACCACATATTACGATGTTATATTCTCGGTGTATGTGGAATATGTTAATTTTAACATAAATTAAACATGATTTTACGAAAGACTTCTTTCTAACTTAACAACCTTGAAGTAGCGGTGTAATTCAAGCTAAAGACACACAGTTTGTAGACTGGGACTTATTTCATACCTATTTGTTTTAATGCATTTTCTCAAACGGCTACAATGACTTTTTCTTTCTTTTATAAATAATAGTTATACACTACGTATCTCTTGAATTCCTAATTTTTCGGCCATACAGCTCGAAGTACCGACAACCAATAAAGAAAAAAGGTTCTAAACTGGCAGCCTCCTATCGGTAGGCCAAATGTAGGAATGCTAGTAAGAAAAAATACTGGTAAGAAATGCTGGTAATCGATTGATGCAGGTGGCTCAGGCACGTGCTTTGTGACATACCTTGGGGAGGCCTATGTTGAGCAGTGGACTTGTGATGAGTTGTAATAATGCTGATGATGATGATAACTGCCTACATTATATAGTGCAATAGCAAATTAGTTTCTTAGGTGCCTCTGTGGAAAAGATTAAATCTATCGAAAAGAGGGCGTTGATTTGAATCAGGTAAACCGTAGACCCGTAGAGTTTCATTCTATACGTAAAAGTAGTACGAGGGCGAACCTGTTCATGCTTGTTGGCACAAGGAAAGGCGCAAGCCAATTCGGCAGATGATTAAAAATAAACATAACAACTAGTCTTTCTCTTGCTACAGACTTTTTGCGATTTATTATTATTCAATATGTAAATGACATGTCTTACGGACAATAACCGATAAGTGCAAAACTTTATTTTATTTTCAAATTGAACTACATTCCCTCCACCCACACACACCGCCATAAACCGAATAATATTCGTTTTTGTTATGTTATTTACTGCGTATTTTTCACCGTCTGGAAAAAAATAGGGTGGAAAAGGTGAACGGAATAGAAGCCTATGGTAGGTACTGCTATTTATTTCACTTTAACATATTGTGAAATTGATCTATCAATAAATACCATTAATTGGGTACGTATTATTTTAATTCCGATAGTTATTAATTGATTTATTTATTTTAACATTGTTTCGTTCTTTTTTAGTACCGGAAGTTTATTTCAAATTAGTAGTATTTATTGATAGATTAATTTCATAGTACGTTAATGTAAAATAAATAAAAATGTAAAATATCAGTGCCATAAGCATTCCGTTCTCCTGTTACACCCAATTTTTGTCCCGACGATAAAAAACAACATTGAGTATATCCGTATAGTAGTGTCGTAAGAAATTCCAATGCCCATATCGTCGTGGATGTCGTAAGAGGCGACATAGAGAACCTCGGCTGAAACAGAAGACAGGCAGCGGCATTTTTCTGATATCAGCTCAAACAAGTCATGCAAAGAGTGGCTACTGTAGCAACATCGCCCTTATTAGGCAATCTTTCTGGCAAGCCTACATTCAGCGGCGGACTTTGATAGACTGTAACGATGATGATTAAAGTAATCCGTTTACGTTTATTCAGTGTCTCATCACATGCGCGGTGCTAGTCCTAGCAGCTGGCGCAGGTCACCCCATCGGTTTCTCCGCCGTGGCACTGCCGCAGCTTCAGACCGAGAATTCAAGCATGAGGATAGATGAAGATATGGGCTCATGGATTGGTAAGATCTCTTTAAATATGCATAAAATTATTCTAACCTGAAGTATTTTAGTAATAATACACGTAGTATATACTGTTTATTTTTTTTAAAAGTAAGTAATACACATAATATGTAATTATGTAGTCAACTTTTATACTATTTATATATATATATATATATATATATATATATATATATATATATATATATATATATATATATATATATATATCAAGAATATTAGAAATACCAAATTAAAAAAAATCATCATTAGCCATCAATTGGCCCCGTGGATGTCATGTCGTCCCAAAATCTTTATGGCTCAAGTCGCTTGTACACTACATGGATTTTTTTTTGACTTAAGTATTATTTTAATAGAATATGGATGACAAACGAGCACACAGTACACCTGATGGCAAGTAGATACTGTGGTCCATAAACATCTACATTTATCGTCGATTAAGAATCGACTTAGATGAAAAGCCTCGTTTCTAGTAATAAGGGTCTCCGATTCTTTACAATCACCGCACAAAACACAGTGGCATTACGCTGCTATTTTACGTTGGTATTCTGTGAGAGCGTGGTCCTTCTTCCCCGGCCGAGCCGACCCATTTGTGCTACAACCATAATATACCTGCAGCGTGGCTGTACCACAAAATAGAGCCATGAGCCACGCTGCAGCTATATTTTTTATATTATATTATTAATATTTTAGTCAACTTCAGAAAAAGAAAAAATCTTATAAATTTTAATTCGACTATATGTTGTATGTCGTGTGATATGATCGCCAATTATTTGTGAACCGATTTTGATGATTCTATTTTACTAAATGGGTTATTCCTTAACTGAAATGTTATAATTTAAGTTTTTAAAATATAAAGAAAAATTTCAATCAATTTAAAAAATACAGGATGAAATTTTCAATATGAAATTGGAGACAATAATCTGGTTACCTTGAGTTAGTCATATCAAAGCAAAACATCAAACAAAAAAAAAATTTCTAATATTAATTGTTTAGTCACAAATTATTCTTGTAATAAAAAGTAAAAAACCGACTTCAAAAAACAAAAATTACGTAAATAATTTTAGTAGTCGTTTTTTACTATTTTTCAAGTACAATTATTAAACACGTTGTACGGAATATTGCATTTAAAACATGACCGACGTCAGTTTGAGTGTTAAATTCGATTCAGCTCAAGAACCTGACACCGAATTGATTACACTGGGCCTCCGACATAACATTAGGGACAGCAAAATAATTATAGTAGGTACACAAACATACATCCGTGTTTTCACTGCCAATAGGTGGGGCTTATGGCGTGACATTCCGGACAAAAAATTACCGTGCAGCTAATAGGCGTTCTTACTTCTTACAGTATATGGCAGAAAACCATCTCGGTTACAACAGCGTGAATTGTTCAGACTAGCGACGGACACTAGCGTTAAAGTTTTGAGACTGGTATACTTCAATCATCCTCCATAGTACAGGGAAGGCCCATCTCCAGCTGTGGACTTTTATGGAATGATGGAAAACGAGAAAAATAGTAACTTATGGTTTATTAGCTCTTTATTATAAATATTATATATAATGGAAAATTTAATTTTTAACGTGGTAGAGCAACGCTGCAGCTATATTGGGTCGGCTCGACCGGGGTAGCACCACGCTCTCACAGAATACCAGCGTAAAATAGCAGCTTAATGCGGCTGTGTTTCGTATCGAGTGTAGAAAACCGGAGACCCTTTTCACTGCAATCAAACATTCCATCTTAGTCCTCAGGGGTGACAACGCATTTGAACTTTGATTCTTAATTGAGGATATTTCTACATTTAAAAAAAAAGCGAATGCTGTGACCCATGACATCTACATGCTGGGTGAAGGGGAGGAGTGGTAGGGATAGAATAATACCGAGAAGAATACATAAAAACAATTCATCCCATGACATTTGCGTAAAACTAAAAATAGCTGATATTCTTTTAAATGGCGCGGCGTACAATACGATCGCTAGTAAATGAAAGTTGTAAGAGCGAGTGAGATGCGTGCATATTTGTTTCATTATGGAGGCTCCAGGCTTTTATATGTGGTAGAGCCATGCTGCAGTTTTATTAATAGTATAGTTGTAGCACGAATGGGTCGGCTCGACCGGGGAAGGACCACGCTCTCACAGAATACCAGCGTAAAATAGTAGTAATAGTAATGCTACCGGATTCTCTACCGGAGTCCCTTTTTACTGGAAACGAGGCATTTCATCTTAGTCCTCACGGGTATGTATGACGTAAATACCCGTGATGAAATGCCTCGTTTCCAGTAAAAAGGGTCTCCGGTTCTCTACACTCACCATACGAAACACAGCAGCATTAAGCTACTATTTTACGCTGGTATTGTGTGAGAGCGTGTTCTACAACTACAACTATACTTCTAATAAAACTGCAGCATGGTTCTACCACGACGAAATCTTACGACGCTTTGACGCTTACCGTCAAATGGATTGTGTGCTCGTTTGTCACCAAATGCTATAAAAAATATTGAAAAATGTTGAACTAGCGACCCGTCCCAACTTGCTTTATTCAAATTTAAGATAACTAAAGACCATTTATTTTATGTGCTTTACTTTTGAATAAAATTATTTTTTGGTTTCAACTTTTTTCTTTTTTAAGTTTGGGTTTATGTTGTCATTTCACATCTCAGTCCCCCCGTGACCATGGGTGGTGTAAAGCACCCGAAACGTCGGGAATTAAAAACTAAGTTAAAATAGTTGATTAAACGCGATAAAATCGGTAAATATAATTTTATTCAATGTGTAGTGTTAGCGTAAATTTAAGAAATCATTATGCTTTACTTTTTTTTAAATATCAAAGTTTTTCATATAAAATAGATCACTCCTGGCGTTTCTCTCTCTGAGTTCGTGAAGTTTCATTACAATCGGTTCAGCCATGCCAATGATTAGCGCGGACAGACAGACGGACAAAACTTTTGCAAACAACCCCTCAGTTTAATACAAGGCAGTTATTTCGATATTACAGACATACTATTCAGTTTTATTTATATGTACTTACACATAAAATATTCTAAATTCCTTGAACTAAGAATGTAATGTGTGGACTTAATGCCTTTACCGTTCTCTAATTAATATACAATGATTGAGGAAAATTACAAAAATACTTACTGAAGTTATTTATCCATCTCATTTTAAAACCAGTACCTGGATGACCGAGCTTGCTCGGTATTTTTTTTATTTTTTATTTTGGAAATCGTGTGTTTTGGAAATTATATTTACATACAAATTACATACTGATGAAATATGAATAATATTTGTTGATCTTATTGACATAATAAAAAAAACCGAACAGGTTATTTGAATAAGAAATCATGAGTGCAATCAGTTTAATTTAAATTATCGTATTTTTAAAAAAATACTAAAAAAAGGGCTCGAAATAATAGATTTTCTCACAAAAGAAGGGAACTTGAAAAAAAAGGGAAAAAAGTTGGACCGTACACAGGACGCGAACTAGGGCACTACGATATCGCGACAGCCTTATATCCACTTGAACTATTACGATCATTAACATTGTGTCAAAATTTACCTTCTTAAATTATAGCAGTTTTTCATTGCCTGAAAACACGGTCAAAACGACATTTTCTAAAAATGAATCCTAGCTAGATCGATTTATTGCCCCTGAAAACCCCTGGATACTAAATTTTATGAAAATCGTTGGAGCCGTTTCCTAGATTCCATTTATATTTATATATATATATACAAGAATTGCTCGTTTAAAGATATATAGGATACACTCGTGATAAAGCAATTTTATAGTCTACAGAAAGACGAGAATGTCGTAAATTCACATTGAAGTAATATGTACCTACTTACGTACCAGAACAGCTATTTCAAACAAAAAATGTGCGCTACTCTGTGTTCGCGCGGTTGTTTTTTTGTCATAGAATAAACATAGGTAGAATGATCAGTAGGTAATAGTAGATTCCATTATTAAATAGGTATAATTATATCGAGAACAATTTTTATATTTTGTCATTTATTTTGTATATTATATTTGCTTATTTAATATAATATTACATAATATTATATCACAATTACATTTTAATAATATTTTTATCTGAATATTTTAAGTCATCTATGTCAAATATAAAAAAACATACTAAATGTATGTTTAACAAAACTTAATATAACATTTAAATTACAAATATATTTATTTAAATTAGAATAGGAGTTGTTCATAAATGCTGGGCACGCGACAGTTAAAATTGACGAATTTATTCCACATTGACTTTGATATGGAAACCTAAAAATAAAATAAAATAATAATGAGCAGATTTAAATATAAAAAATTTAGCCTAATTATGATAACTTATATATGTTTCTACAAAAAATATAATATGTATAATAATATATTCGTCCTATACTTAAGTACCCACAGAAATGTCGCATCTGAACAAATTAATTTCATAATCTATATTCCTTGACACGAGATGGCGTCTTAAATTTATTTTATTATTAATCTATAATACTTTTTTATTGATTAAGTATCTTATTTACCGATGAAAAGTAATTCCTTGGTTTTTACTGACATTTCTTGATTTATTTGTGCAATATCTAGGTACACACGACGGCATATTTTTGTCAAGAGATTTTTTTAAATCCACACAACACGTCAACACTCTACAAGCGCCTAGCGAGTGACAGACATGTGTCAATCGTGAATGATTCGTTCATTTGAGCTGGTACATTTAAAAGTATTGACGGTTCATTCGTCTGTTTTTGAATGTTCCGGTACAAACAATCACAAACAATTGACGGAAAGTTTTTAACTCGTGATTGGCAGGGGCGTAGCTACCGCCGTATCAGCCGTATCAATGATACCGGGCCCCCGGGCTACAGGGGCCCCGAACGTGTGTAATCAAAAATTCGTAAAATGTTATCCACAAACTCACTTAAACTCTTAGGCCGTACTTTTCGAGAAAAAAATCATATCATCAAATAGTGCCCAACGTGCCTAAAGAAGAC